CCTGGTCTTGAACACTGCCAGGGATGGGGCAGCCACAGCTTCTCTGGGCAACCTGTGCCAAGGCCTCACCACCTTCAGTGTAAACAATTTCTTGCTCATGTCCAACCCAACCCTACCCTTTTTCAGTACAAAACCATTCCTCCTAATTCTGTTACTACAGGCCCCATTAGAAGTCTGTCCCCATTTTATAAGTCCTCTTCAAGTAGGGCAAGGACTATGTCATTGGTTAGTCTGGGACAGCTCCTGGTTGTGTGGCATGGCATGGTGTCCTGTTCCTGAAGGCACCATGGTTGCCTGTCTCATTCCTGAGGGTGCTTTGGTTGTGTGCCCTGGTCCTGAGGAGCCAGGACGTGGCTCCATGTCCTGTTTTTGCAGGTGTCAAGCAATGTGTCTTTGTCGTGAAGGTGCTGTGGCTGTATGTCATCCTGAGGGTGCCATGCCATTGTTTCCTAGCTGTGAGTGTGTCATGGCAGTGTGTCCTGGTCCTGTGGGTGCTATGATACAGTGTCCAGGTCCTGAGGGTGCTATGGTAGCATTTCCTGATCCTAAAGGTTTTGTGGCACCTTGTCCTAGTCCTGAGAGTATCATGGCTGTATGTCCTTGTCCTGAGGGTGTTAATACAGCATGTCCTGCACCTGAGGGTGTTGCAACATGATTTGCTCCTGAGGGCGCCATGGCAGCAGTCTTGGGGGTACCATTGCACCATATTCTGGTCCTGAGGGTGTCATGGCACCATGTCCTGGTTCTGAGGGTGTGTTGGCCATTTGTCCTTATTCTGAGGGTGTCATCACCACTTTACTGGTCCTGAGGGTGTCACTGTTTTGTATCCTGGACCTGAAGGTGCCATGGCAGTGTGTTCTGGTTCTGAGGATGTCATGGCAGTGTATCCTGGTATTGATGATGCCACATCCATGTGTCTTCAGCCTGAGAGTGCTGTAGCATTGTGTTCTGGTCCTGAATATGTCATGGTCGTCTTTCACTGCAGCATGTCTTGATCTGGAGGATGTTGTGGCAGTGTCTCCTGGTCCTGAGAGTGCCACAGCAGTGTGTCCTAGTGCTGAAAGCGTCCTGGCCATGTGTCTTGGTCCTGAGGGTCTCGTGGCAGCATGTCCAGTGTCCTCAGTGTGTGATGGCCGTGTGTCCTGGTCCTGAGGGTGTCTTGGCTGTGTGTCCAGGTCCTAAAGCTGTTGTGCCACCGTGCTCTGCTCCTGAGGATGTAATTGTAGCATGTCCTATTCCTAATGGTGCCATGGCAGCATGTCCTGGTCCTTTTGTCCCATGGCAGTGTATCCTGGTCCTGAGAGTGCCATGGCAGCATGTCCTTATCCTGAGGGTCTCACAGTAGCGTGTCCTTTTCTGGATGATTTCACATTTGCATATCTTTGGGTGCCATGGCCTTGTGCAGTGGTCCTCCTGGTGTCATGACATGTCTATGACCTGAGGGTTCCATGGCCACATGTCTTGATCCTGAGGGTGGCATTGTAGCCCTGTCCCACCCCAGGCCACGTTGCCAGCCCCTGCAGGCAGCAGCAGCCTGGCATGCCTTAGGTGCTGGAGGTAGAACTTGGTCTTTTTGGCATAATGTGCTTCTGTCACTGGAGATGAGTCTGCGACAGTGTCCTGATGAAGAAGTCATGTCTCTGGGCTGTGGTCCCAGAGATACCCCTTGTGCTGTGAGGTCTGCAGTGGGGAAGTAGGGTCAGGACAGGGGAACGGGGATAGGGACAAGGTCCAAATGGGGCTGGCCACCCCGAAGTGGTGCAAGGGCTACTGCCATGGGGTTTAGTGATGGTGGGATGAGGACTGGGGGCATGGGCAGGGGTGCATTCAGGTCCATGTCTCCCGCTTCCAGCACCCATTGTAGCTCCTTTTCCTCTCCTTCTCCACAGGTGGAAAGCAGTGACACCCCCAAAGACACTGCAGCTGTCCCCACGTGCCCTCCGCCCTGCCCAGAAGCCAGCCCTGCTGAGCCGCTGCCCAACGGGGACGTGGAGGGGGACGGTGCCCAGTGGAAGGGTGCAGAGGAGAGCAGCACGAGTTCCAAGGGCGGGCGCCCAGAGGAGGACGAGACAGAGAGCCTGCCAGACGGCGAGACGGGCCGGGCGCTGGAGAACGGCCGCTGCACCCCCAAGGAGGGCCTGGACGCCCCGGCCGATGAGGGTGAGCTGGCCCCTTCCGACCCCCAGAAGAAACGCGGGAGGAGGAAACTCCTGGAGGCCACAGAGAAAAGTAAGATCTTAGTGTTGAGGGCTCCCCACTATGGGGCTGCAGCTCTGCCTGCAGTCCCACCGGTGCCTGCTGCACCCTCCGGGGACCCCTGGCATGCCATCACAGGGAGGGGTCTGGGCTGCGGTGGCTCCTGGGCTGGGGAGCACTGCCAGAGGAGGAGGAAGGGCTGAACTCCTCCATGCCACGTGGAATTTGGGGTGGGAGCACCAGATCAGAGCAGGGGGCTGCCCTCGCATGCTCGTCCTGTCACACTACCTTTCCCACCAGGCTCT